TAAGGACTAAATTTCAACAAATGGTAAACCTCATGGACTATTAGTATAATTTACCCATTAATTAAGTCAAATTAATAATTTTCAACAATAGGGTTGCACCTTAAAAGTTTTAAATTTTTTATTTTATACATTTAAAAATTTAATTTTTCACATTACACTTTTAATGTATTAAAAGTATTTTAATATATTAATTATTTTTTTGTCAAAACTAATTTATTGACACGGATATAAAAACTTACAAAAAGCTCACTTTTAATAATGTATAAAATTTAATATTCCATTTGAAGTAAAGTAAAATAAAATCCTTTTTTTTCCAAATAATCGGAGCTCAATCCTTTGATCTTCCTCGTCTTGTAGTTTATTCAAGCTTTTTAAATCTAATAATGGTGTAAAGTTTTGTTTTACATAGCTCCCGTGGCTATGTTCCTTGGTTTTTCACCTTTGTACCTCACAAATTTCACCACTCCAATTGCCTCAACCAAGGTCATTCCACGCCCAATTGGCTTCACCCTCTCTATTCCGTTACCATTCCCAACACACCCACATGCAGAAGCCGAACCCTTTTGCCGAAAACAACCGCCATCGCTCACCACAATTACAAATTTTGTTGGGTTTTTTTTTATAACTTTTGTAGTAATGTGAGATCAATTTTGAAAATACTAGGGGTGCAATGGAAATGATTTTGAAAATGATGTTGGTGTCCATTGAATGAATCTATTTGAGACAGTTAGATAGACTTATTGAAACCGGACCTATTTTATATTATAAATTAGGATTGATAGCAAGTTATGATAAAAGTTATAACTTGGCCCATAAAAATTGTAAAATTTATAGGTTCCAGTACCATAGTCTTGTTCTTAAGATTGTGGAACCATTTCATCAAGTACTCTTTTCGAAAGAGAAAATATTCTTTGCTTTAGCCTTTATTCAAAGCCAATCCCAAGCGGTAAAATTTTTTCAGACTTCTTGTGCTCTATCATTTTTATTATATAAGTTTTCACTGGTTACATTCAAATTTCTAGTTGTTTGTCAGTTAGTTTCTCCACAAGATGTCAAGCAAAAGATATCTTCTGATGATATGCAAATCTTGTTAATCCAAGTAAATGATTTTTCTAATCACCCCATCATTATATGACATTGAAGCATGAAATTTAACATTATATGGAGGGACCAATTTTATTAATCATATCTCCTCACTGAAGCATAAAAACTTCTTTGATACAGTAAGCAGTCTATCACTTGTTTATAATGATTATATACTTTTTGCAGTTCTGGAGGAACCAAGAGATGTTACACCCACTGTTTTGAAGTCATCAACTGGTCTGGAAGGTGCACTACCCATCTATAGTTTCTTCAAAAAACTGATAAATTACAGTTGAAATGATTCACATGCCTACCATATTGTGTTTATTATTCATAACTTTGTAGTTTTTTGTCATAACTCCACCGAGATTAAAACGTCTAAGTTCTGCTTCTTCTTCTTCATTGTTTTTTTGTGGCCCAGTTTCTAAACTTTCACCATAGAAGTGGGGTCTTTCTGAAAACTTTAGGGTCGTTTTTGGTTGGTTTACTTGCTAGGGTGTCATTTTTGCTTAATCAAGGAATAGATATCAGGCCAAACCTAGCAGCCACATTGGGATTAGCCATGATAGACTCAATATTCCTTGGTGGATCCTGTTTGGCTCAAATCTCAAGTTACTGGCCTCCATATAAACATCAAATTCTTGTGCATGAAGCATGCCATTTTCTTATTGGTGAGCACGGTTTCTTTGAATATCTGCAACTTACTTTACCATTAGAATTATAAATTGGCAAAATTAGATCTTTAATTTCTATACCCATGAATCATATTGTAATAATAGGTTTACAAATTGATATTCTGTGATCACAAGTTAGGGACCACTCTCGGGTTTTCAAACATGAGATCTAGACAGTTTGCACACTCTCACTGTTCCTTTCGTTTACAGAAGAAATTCATAAACATCCATTTTGTCAAGCATCGATTATACATTTGCAATTGAGCTTAGGGGCATATAACCCTTATTCTGACCTGTGCCCTATTGATATTCTCTTATATATCTTTGCAGCATACCTTATGGGGTGCCCAATTCGTGGGGTAATTTTAGACCTCATTCTCCTAAAAAAATTAGTAGATGTGTGCATTCCTACATTTCAAAAAATTATTAAACCTTTGTGGGTTAAAAAGGTAAATAAAGTTGGGTTTCAATAAATTAATGCTCAATTACCGTCAAAAAAAGAAATAAAGAATTAAAGATATACCACAACTTCTGGACTTCATTATAGGGGTTTGAGAAACTTTTTTTTTCACACAAAAAGAGAAACTAATTAAATTAAAAAACATTAGAAAAATCGCAAAAGAAAAATAAAAATTGTGTACAAAGGGTAAAAAATAAAAGAAAACATATTGACTACTCAAATTTCTATCAAACCTGCCATCTTGAAATGGATACAAAACCTTCCATAACTTCGATAGATAACTAAATTTGTTGAAAGCTTTAAACAACAAAGCGGTAAGGAAAACCAACCTTAGAAAGCCCTTCATGGTAATGTTAAAGAGCATTCAATCCACCAAAAAAATACACCAATAGATAATTTTATTCACTTAAAAATCCCAACTGGCAAGAAAATTGAACTAACTACAGTAGCAATGCATCATCCTTAGTCCTCATTGGACTATAGGTTGTATCTACCAATAACAGAGCAGACAATGGTTGTAAACAACTCATTCCATCGGCCCTAAAAACACATCATTAGAAACACATTCATCTAAACGAATAGGAACTATCATATCAACAACCTCAAGTCTTATAGAAAAAAACATCCCAAAACAAACTGAAAATCCAACATTTAGAAGCAAATGCATATATAAAAAGGAATATAAAGGCATCGTAAATGGAAGAATTAATCCACTGATTAACTAAATGAGATGCAGTATGTGTATTATACATAAATTAGAGAGCGATGGGTAGCCTAAGATGTAGCAGGGCAACCTTCAGTAAACGTCATTGATCAATTCTTCAATCACCTACATAGATTAACATTCTCATTTATTATCAAAGTCATGAAACCGAAAGGAAACACTTATTCAACACAAAAACCTCAACGACTTTAAAACTAAAAAAAAAACTCAACTTTTGAAGCTTACAATAAATTGGAATTGCTATCATTGGTCACATGTGGCGTCATTGGTGGTGTGGGGGCGTGGTCGTTCATTTTGGTGTGAGTCGCTGGTTGAGGGAGGGGGTTTTAGGGTGAGAGAGAGAGAGGTCGATGGCGGCGTCATGTGGATGCAAGAAGAGAATGGGGTGCAATGGAGAGAGAATAAGGGAATGGTGTGGGTATGCTGTGTTGTGTGCTTTATGTGAGTCGGGTGGTGTGTTGTGTGTGTGCGCGTACTATCTGTGTGATGGTGGAGGAAGAGGTATGTTGTGTTGTAGAGAAAAGAAATAACAAAGAAAAAAAGATAATCATGGAGATGAGAGAGAAAAGGGTGATGAGATCAGAGAGATGAGTACGAATGTTGGATAATGAACTCACCACCCTTTACCAGGAAAAAAAATTGCTTAGGTTAAAAATATACAATCCTAATGTCTCCATTCTTGCGAGTCTGAAAGTGATTCCCTCGTTGAAATGTCCCAAGGCTTCAGTTCCGGCACAATAACAACCAACACCAACTTCAACATGTACATATAAGAAGACATTATACAATTAAACAAAGCAAGCATTATCTACCATTAAAGTTGCATCAAATTCACACAGCAGAAAAAAAACAAAAACAAAAAAAGGATAACTTGAAGAATAACGATGGAGAACTTTTTATAAAGCCATAATGTCTACATNAAAAATATAGCAATTTGAGCAGATTTGTTTCAACTGTGTGTGTGTGTGTTGATTAGATTCTTTATATAGCTTTGTACTAAAACATTAGTAGACACAGCCTACCCTTCCTCGACTCACTGCATATATTCAACGAAACAATAATACCGTGACCTGATGATGTGTCTACAAACATGACCCCAATAAAAAAGTTGCAACGCTTACAAAAGTAGATACTATTGGACCATATCAATTAACAAAGTTAACATTACTCTCAGTAAGATTAATAGTTCAGTACAACTCCTTTTAATTGTAGTTCTGGTACATCATTTGTTATACATCAGCTATTCTTTTTGGGAAGCTTATGATGGATTGTGTTCTAAAGAAACACATAAATTTGAATACTTGCTTTTGAATTCGTACTGGAATCTGGTTCAGGAGGAATCTTGTAGAACGGACCAACTTTCTTCTCTATGTTACTTGCTATACAATTGCAAACAATTAGATATAGTATTCCTCTGACTCAAGGTCTATCTTTTCCTGGCTGTTTGACACAAAAAGCATGCAAATGACAGATAAATCAGTCAAGATCTCTCTCTCTCTCCATCATTACTTAGCCACCCCCTGTGTTCTGAATGGTCTATATTCAAAATCATAGTAAAGTCTTNTTCCTCTGACTCAAGGTCTATCTTTTCCTGGCTGTTTGACACAAAAAGCATGCAAATGACAGATAAATCAGTCAAGATCTCTCTCTCTCTCCATCATTACTTAGCCACCCCCTGTGTTCTGAATGGTCTATATTCAAAATCATTATCAATTATGCTGACATAGAATCACAATAATGGTCTTAAATCAAAAATTCAGAAAGTAAAAGACAAATGCTGCAACTTTACATCAGAGTTGGCAATTGATTGGGTCATAAGGGGGCAGAATTATAAAACAAAATCATGCAGTGCTTGGTGTGTAAAAAGACCAATTACCAGACAATTTGGACCCCAAGCTCATTTGCATCCATCTAAATTAAAAGCTTCTCAAATACGGTTAGAAGTACCTAATTTCCCTTAGTTTGAAGTTTCAAGGAATCAAATAAAGCTCAACATATTTGAGATAACTATCGCACATCACCTGACACTGTTTCTTCTTTATTATCTTTTTATCTCCTCTTGCAAGTGGTTTCATGAGCAAACAAACTTTGTTGGTGCATGTTACCTGGAAATGAATCTAGGTTGATTGGTATTTGAGCATAAGATCACTACAGATTTTTCCCACTTTCACTGTTCTCCTCTACAAGTAGTCTTGTTCAACATAGTACACATTCTTTGCTTCTCTGAGCATGCTGAGATTCTTGGTCATAGATTTGTCAAACTTTTCATCTGCATGATCAATTTGCTTGCACGCTCGCAGGTTGGCATGCCTATCCTTTTGGTCAAAATAAGATCAGACTGCATTCTCTCCTTTAACATTATTACTACGACTCAAAAAAAGAAGTATGTATTTATACTCTTGGATGATAACAAAAATGTGCAATTATTACAAAAATACAAATGTCCTATCTAAAAACTTAAGCTTTTAGATGAGTTGATGATTTATACTTATCTAGTGGTTGAAATAGTATCAAAACCTAAAAGTCTTGAGTTCAAACCAAACCAACCAATCCTGCCTTAGATAAGGTTTCTAGAGTTCAACCTTGAAGCTTATGCAATAGAATGTTTCAGCTCAGATTACAGGGTATTACAGCTAGGATCACTGAGCTTTTGCTATTCAATTTTTCTTAAATCTTTGTTGGTTTGGAAACTATTTTCACTCGATCTAATCAAGAACCCTGAACTTGATTGATGCCATGTGCTCAAAACAAATAAAGTGCCACACATAATCTTAATGGTGCCCAAGTTGTTTGAACTGTAACAGTATACTATCAGACTGATTCCTTATCCAAGAGATTTGATTATGCTGTCTGATTCCAGTAATTAATCAGCGTTTGAAAAATTAGATGCAAATATTTTTAGCATATCAAATTTACATATCAAATATTTTTAGCGTTTGAAGTTTATTGTAGCATCTAAATTGATATTTGAATCACTCAAGGTCCCCTGCTTTTGGTGTTCAAGGTTATATGCCACCCATCCCTCTGTACATTTTGCTAAACTTCTGCTACATTCAAATCCATGTTGAACATGTAGAACCTTTTTCTAATCTGTAACCCATAATCCAACAATGCACAAGTACACAGCACAAAAATCCTACTGGACATTATTTGATCAGCAACATCAAGGGCAAAATGTGGTACACCACAAGTGCTGGCAGAGACACTTGAGGTTAACTGATAAGGATCAAGGAGAGAGAGAGAGAGATTTGTCAGACGCATTCAAGAAAATTCACTTTTACGTTAAATTCAGTACCTCACTAATGCTAATCAACACTTCCAAAGAAGCACATCAGATGATCTAGAAAACAATTGCAACTATTTACAAAGCATACCTGCATTGAAATATGGCACAACTAAGCCTAGAAACACTATGTTCCAGTCTGCTTTGGCTCGATCTCTTCAAATCCACATACATTGATGATTTCGACAAATGTTCCAGCGTCAGAAAACCAGAGGGGTAATATATGAGACTTCATAAATTAATATATGAGGTGAGAACCCAAAAATATACCAATTTTCACCCACATGTTCAAGAGGGGGTGAGTTTTGAACTTCAAATGGCTACATTTTCTCTACTTTGAGTTCAAAGTTAAATATGCATTCTCCAGAATTATTAAAGGGAAAAAAATTCAAAAACAAGTTGATATGTAGCCAGCAAGACATTATGGCATCAACTTACAATACTAATTTTTGTTTATTTTGAGGGATAAGCATGTTCTATCCCATTGCATTGATTCCTTATCCTTAACATTAGTGTTTGAACCAAAATGGACAAATTCCATGTCCATGGGATGACCAAACACAGCTCAAGATACTAATAAACTGTTAAACAAAATAAATATATTATGTGGTAACTTTTAAAATATACTGGTATGACCATTGTTAACAGCTTACCGGTATCTCATTCATCCCTTTTTTGCCGTATCCTGCCTCTGGAGGAACAAGCACAGTTCTCTGTACAACAAGAAGAAAGATTAAAGGTGAGCTGATAAACAGGGAGTTGACATAAAAATGTATTAAAAAATACATAATGCACAGAAAAAAAAATAAATGAAGTCATGCAGTATGAGCATGCAGAGACAATAAAGGAGGATATTCTACCTTCCCCCCTACTTTCATCCCTTCGGTCATTATGTACATGGCCGTTGGGGCTTTGGTGCAGCTTGTGCAGAGAACAGACCATTTGGATTGTCCACAAATTCACGCTTTCGTTCTTTTCCAGGGGGAGCTCCAACCTGGAACTCATAAGGCTACTTGGAACACAATGAATCATGTACCATTTAATTATACATATATCCAGAATTCAACACATTGATCCAGTGTTTATAGTTATGCTAAGAGATCAATAGAGAGTAAACACCTGTGCAATGATGCAATTTCCAGCCAAGAGTTTAGATTCTCGACTTGACACCGCTGTAATACCACGATATAAGCAGTCGAAATGCACCTATAATGATAGACGCCATAGAAAGCTGTAAGTAGCAAAATCAATGCATGAAAACACACAATCACTAGATTACATGGCACCATCAAACCCGCACTGTTGATCCTTTTTCAGCTACAGGGCCATTTCCCTCAACAACATCATAGTATTTCAGTCCATCAGCTACTAGGAAAACAAGACCAATTCGTAAAGGATAATGAGCAAAGAAGAGTGGAGACGTCTCTTAACACTGTTTGACAATGTTCATAACTTTGGCTTGGGAATCAAGTAGTTAGAATTAATTGCAAATGGAATAATGCACAGTACTCTTCTATCTAGTCAATTTCACCTGATAAAAACTCTGCATGTGTATCAACCATATGCAATTTTTGCAAAATCACTGTAGAAGTGACTCCCCAAGGACAAAGTGGGCACCAGCATTTTGTAAAATGCTAGGAAAAAACTTTCCAAATATTGATGGAGCTATACGCTCAATCGAGATGCTGAAGCACAATATTTTCACTTAATTACAGGTCATATGCAACAAAATCTTTACTTAGCAAGCTCATTAATAGACAATTCAAGTTGTTTTTGTAAAGATTTCTTCGGTGAAGATGCTTCTAAGTTCTTTTTTTTCTAACAATTGTTGATGAAGTAAATAGATTGAATAGATAATCATAGTTGTAAGCGATAGCACATTCAAAAAATCTCTGTCAAATTGCACATCTATTCACTTAGAATCAGGTTAAGCATGTCAGCTCAGAGCATACGTAGTCAAACTACTAAGAGTCTGCATGCATCATAAAGAGGGCATCAATCACATGAGAGGGAGTTGGTTTAGTAAAATGCATCTCTTTTGAAGCACTTGGCATCATGCACTCCTCCTTACCCACCTATCAACGTATTTCCAACAGCCAAGGTAGCTGTTATTATGATAATTTCCCCTTTTTTTGGCTGGCGAGCGTGTCTAGATACCTTAAGAATATTCAAATAGTCTATCGGGTATAGCACAACTGGTTTTATTAAAACCCCAAAAGCAATTGATTTCATGACTTACCAACCCTATAACTTCTAGAATTGAACAACTAGAGATATTTGCAATAAACATATTGGAGGTTTAACTGCAGTTCCTAGGTTCCATGACAGTTTCATCCTCAGGGAAGGAAAATTTGATACTCCACCAGGATTTGGCACCCGAGGATGCTTACAGTGCTTAGCTCTGTCATGCATCCCAGCATGGGTGTTCGAGTGTCTGAATTCACCCTGTTCAAAAGAGACCAACATATGTTGTCCATCATTCTCCCAATAAGGCAGGTTCTTTTGGTGTGCGGGTTTGGACTACTACACCTATCGTGGGTGTTACATGCGTTTACTCACTCAAAGTAAGCTCTCTCTCTCTTCAGCAAAATAGTTCCAAGGAAACGAATTAGGGTTTCAATCTAGACATAATAGTTCTCGTGAGCAAGAAATTTCAAAGCAGGATCACTCCTATGCGATTGTAATTGTTTGAAAGTGATAGCAAGCAATTGCGTAAAATTCTTGAATTCATTGCACATTGCTTGTAAATTCCTAACATATGAACATATGAGAAATCCAATGGTAGATGTAAGGTGGGTTCCCTTTGCATTAACAAACGTTTATCAGAAAAAAACAAGAAATTGAAGAAATCCAAGAGACATCACCCCAAGAACATGAACAGATAATGACAATGATGAAAAAAATAAAGCCCAACAAAGCACAGTTAAACAAGAGCAAGTATAAAGTAAAGAGTGATTAACAGCTGGTGAGGTAGTCGTCAAGAGGGATGGCCATTTTGTTGCGCCTCTCTCTGGCCAATGATGGCAGGGGTAGTCAAACGAAGCCCAAAGGAAGCACAAAGATGAGAATTGCACACCTTCTCGATATGGGTGGTCTTGGTAAAATGACTTGCTGCTTTATATGCTGCTGTGTTTGATTTTTGAAGGTGGGTTTTGAACAACAATGTAGAATATTATCAACGCTGAATCTCGCAAAGCTCTGTAGTGAAGCCATGGCCATTGGAGCCCAAAAAACCAAAAGATTATGATAAAGCCGCCATCTTTATGAGAAGTCTCTATCCACTGCCGTTGGTGCTGCTGTGCTGATTGCCATGTGCACCCTCCAAATGGAACCGATAAATAAGAGTCGAAATGCGCCTAAAAATAAAATCATAGAAATACCTAAAAATAATAATCGCCGTTGCCGGGGACCGAACCCGGGAGGACCAGGTGACACGCGGAAACTTACCACTAAACTAAAACGACATCGTTTTTATAATACCTGTTGAATTCTTTATTAAACTTTTTCAATAAACCACCCAACTTAAGGAACACTAAACTCACAAAATCCTAATAGGGTAGGGTTTCTGCAATTGCTCTGCATCTTATTAAAAAAAAATCCTTGCAGGAGGATAGATTTCAATGTGATAGGTAACAGTGGTGTTGAAAAATTAGTGGCCCAGCTATCATTAATAGAAGTGGATGATGCGCCAGTGCATTGCTTGGTTAGATGCAGTAGAAAAGTAAGAGCTGCGCAAGATGAGCAAATAAAACAAAATTTGAGAAAGTGAAAATCTCAAATCCAACATTATATATCTGGAGAGACAAATTGGCATGATAATGTCATTTCAGTTTCATCGCAGTGTAGAAGAAAATTGGTGGTGCTGGGAATCACTTGGAACAAACACTGGAAGCTGGCCACCTCGTTGTGATCTACCCTGCCGATAGTAACTTGACGTGGAACCTCTCTCAGGATCGGAAGGCAGTGAGTTGCCAGTTCTTGTCCCTCTGCTCAACTGTTCATCCACAGGGGAACCACCATAGAAAATAGATTGACCTGCATATGTAAGCGGCTCTCTTCCGGATACCTGAGAGGAAGAACTAACACTTCTGGTGGCTGCAGAGACAAAGCGCCCAGCTTCTTGATCCCAAAATACTGACGACGACCTTGAATTTTCTGCAGCACCCAAGTTTCTACTCATTGGTACCCTTTCTACATCACTAACTGCAGTTTCATTTGCGTCCTTTGCTGACAAAGGAGATCGATCTACTGATGACATGTACATCGGATTGAAATGATCTCTGTTTGAAGCCAGCTGCTCTAATGGAGAAGGTGTGAGGTTAGGGGGATGAGGGCTGTTTAGGTTACTAATGTTGTGGCCACACATTTCATTATCTTCCCTGCTAGCACGACTGGGAGGATATGAACTCTTCGAAGAAGATAACCTTGATGTTCCTGCTCTAGTATTTCTTTCATGAAATCCATGATTGGTACTGGTTGGACTGCTTCTGCCACTCACATTGCTATTGGATAAATGATCGGAGTCATACGGATGATGTCTGGAACTTACTGGACGTAAAACAGATGATGAAGCTCTAGCCTTGGCCCCTGCCTTGATTGACTCATTAGAGTCCAATTTGGCAAGCTTCCATGCACTTATCCGGACTGGACGCTGGGCTAACCTTTTCCCCTTATCAGGAGGAGGCAATGAATCTGGATCAACAGTGGATGGTAAGCGATCTCGCTCTAGATGAGGGATAATTTCATCCTGGTTATGTACTAACAAGAACGAGTCAGTATGGAGCCTTTATCCTTGGACGTTCAACACAAATATTAAAGTTACTGAAACATGGAGCATGAAATGCATGTGACAGATATCATGGTGCTTCCAATGTTAATAAAGAGAATTCTTTCCATCATGAAGTAGCACTTGCCCTAGAATAGATATATCTAATCACCGACAAAAGCAGGAAATATTTCCAGAAAAAAATAACATGAACCAGAGTTTGGACCAAGAGATAATCCAACCCAAAACCAAGTATACTAGAGCTAGAAACAAATTTCCAAAAAACTAGCAATATTTTGTAAAATAAAAATGTTGTATACAAGTTTGTTCCCATTATGTTGATTACACACGTAGTTTTCTCCAGTCTTTTTTGACACTTTTCCCACAATACCACAAGTAACTTTAGAACTACTTCACCGTCTAAGTTGTTCTAGCTTCCTTTGTTTCTGGGTTTATGCAATGTATTTTCATTAGGTCAGCCTCTAGCTTCCTTTGTTTTTGGGTTTATGTAATGTATTTTCATTAGGTCAGCTAGGCAAACGCCTCCGAATACACCACCCTACATCAACCAAACAAAATCAACTCTATACAGAAGAAAGAAGGAAACTTGATCTAAGTTAAAAAATCTTTGCTGAAAACCTAGCAGATGTTTCATGCTGCAGAAGCGTTACTAAAATAGGCAGCAGTACCTGGTGGTCCATAAAGATTCTAGGAGGAGTACACCAAGCACCTTTATATTGCAAGCTCATTCCAAGAGAGCTTCTTCCGCTCATGGCAGAACTTGTTGGTGAGGATGGCAAACTCTGCAGATCTCCTCCGTCCACAGAGGGCCCAGGAGCTTCACTTTGGGTCCTCATTGCGACAACGTACTCATAGGTTGTGATACCCTGCAACAAAAGAATATGATGGTGTTAGCAGCCTCCTTTTGCCTTTCTATGTTTCCTATTCTCTTTTACCTGGCGAATGAAATTCCAGATGGAAAATATATATCGCATTTGCGAATGCAACATCCAACTACAAAGTTAAGGTTTGTTAAAGAAGGAACAAACCTTTCGAATTAGAATTACGTGGAAAAAGAACAGTTCTCCCAAAGGCACAGTGGCCAGAAAAGAAACAGCTGTACATAGGGCCTGTAATAAGCACATACCAAAGTTGATTTTCTAGGGGAAAAACACAGTAGTACCAAATGCAACCAAAATAAATTCGATCATTCTATGGAATAGAGTCATTAAAAGACCAAAAAAATGGAATTGCAAGACTTTTACCAAGCCTTTTCAAGCAAGCAAAGTAAAAGAAATAGCAAAAGAAGTTGTTTTATTGATGCCTAAAGTGCGACGGTACATTACATTCTCAGTTTTATGAGTACAAAATGAAGATGTGAAACCATGATAAATTATATTGTCAGGCCAATGCAGCAGATGCACTGCTATAACACTGAAAGGTCAGATATCCAGTCTCTAATAAAAGAACATGCAACATTTTCTTAAATATATAAGATACACAATAAGCAGAGAAGGATATATACCACTACAGTAGCAAATGGGGGTCGTGAGAATCCTTCTCCAAGCCTGTCAGTTATCTGATTTTCTGTTGCCTTCCTATCAGTGAAGCAACGAACAAGAACAGCAATGCCCACTCCAAATTCAAAAACAAGCTGGCACACAAATGCACATGCAAATAGAGATCCACAAAACTTATTTAGTTGGGTTTAAGGGAAGGAAAATGAAAGCTAATAGAAATGTTAAAACAAATTCCAAACAAACATCTGCTTTAGAGCTTACCCAGCCAAGGCTTACAGCCATAAGGCACACAAATGTGATGTAATTTTTCCTCCCAACACAATTATTCAACCACTGCACAACAGTTTATCATGCCATATTAGACATAAAGAAAAGCAATCCTCTTAAGATTACAAAGAATGATGGCAAACAACAAAAAAGGATAGCAGGACATGATGAATAGGACAGCAACAAAACTACTCATATCGGGAAGATCTCTCAGTTAAGTGCAAAAAACAATCCAAGATAGTAATCATCTAAGCTACCCATTTCTTCAAAAAAATCCCCAGATCTTTTTGAACATGATAATGGTTTGTTCATCTAATCACATTCTGATGCAAGACTAAACATATTAAGTATAAGAAATCAACCATGAATAATAGGTTTCCGTTAATAAAGGTCTGGTGTTACGAAAAAGAATGTTGGTGACAAAATTGAGACTGTTTAGTTATGAGTGACCAGGAAGACCTAGATTTTAGGGTTTAGAAGGGATGAACTTATAGAAATGTTGATAAAGAGATTTGGATTTCTTAATTAGAGTTTCTTAGCTCGAAATAGAGCCTAGATAGGTATGTCTGGTTGGAGGGGTTTATATGCGGAATATTGGGAAGAAAAGAAGAAGACAAAGAAAACCAGGAAACACTCCAAGAATGCCTTAGGCATCACACATGGGGTAAGGGTTTGCATCGGACAAACACGATGAGGCTTCAAAAGTTCCAAAGGCGCTCTAAAACAAATCTCTATTATGAATGAGTAAACTCAAAAATCTGACTACTCTAATGTGAAATTCAGAAATGCTCGACCCTTAAAAAATCTCAAACATTTATAAAACTCGGCTACCAGAATAAAACACAAATAAACCATAAAATATGACTCAGGGAAAAAAATTAACAGTAAATTATGCAAGGCCACAAGTGAGTCACAATCTTGATACCACCAATTTTATAAAATTTGTTGTATCTTTTAATTTTCATTTCCTTGAGCATCTTATGGACTGCATCACATTCACTACACATAAACCAACAACTTGAGCATCTTAACATCATAAGCAGGAGAGTTGACCAGAAATTGAGCATTAAACTCACCCTACAGTGATGATCAAACCCATCAACACATTTGTCACAGCTTTTGCAATGTTTGCCGAACTTGCGCACCTACGAAACCACAAAAAATATTTACGGAATTATTCTCCTCAAATTCTTGGTTTGTTATGCATTGAGATCATACTCATTAATTCGAGGTTTTGACCAAGAGCATATACTCACTGGGAGAACAAGCAAAAAAAAAATGGGGAGGCAAAGACGAGGAAAGACAGCAAGGGCATACGAAACATGATGCAACAGAATATATAATAAGAAATTCTTCATTTTCTTTTGTTTGGTTCTTTCCCAAACAATAGGAACTGAACTTAACTAAAAATCAGAAATTTAAAGAAACAAAACCAAGGGTTAACTCTGGTTCAAGAAGAGGAAGAGTTCTATACTCAAAAAAAAAGGAAGGAAATCAAAGCAAAAATAGTCATGAGCTGTATACAACACCAAATCGGTCCTTGTTAAGGTGGGTTCCCACCTTCCTAAAGTGGGAAGCACAACATCCAAAGCTTCAGCATATATCTTAACAAGTTAAAGGTTCAAGTGACGCTTTTCCAAGTGTGATAAAATTATATTGGATAGCAATTATTTCTTGGGAGTTAAGGTAAAGTTTAAATGGAGCTTGAGATCCAGTCCACATGCAGTTCCCACTACCTCTAACTCTCTTCCCTTTCCCTCATGCATCATATATCATGAGCAACAAGCTCATGTCCCAGGTAAAAGCATGTAAACATCGAGATAATCAAGAGTAATTCAAAGCAGGTGTTTAATATATTCTTGATCTTTTATACATTTATTCTTCTGGCGGCCCGTGGGTCTGGGCTGGAGAGGATAGGTCAGGGGTTGTGTTAGCGGCATTTGATGGTGTCCTCCCAATTGAGTTTTGCAGCAGACAATCACTTGGATTTTTGAATCTTGAAAATAAAACCATTACAATAAGATTTAAAATCTCTTAACTACCTTTAACCAATAACATATACGACATAAGATTCAAAACCTTTTTCAGTAAATTTTACCTCAGCATTGCACAATGTGCAGAACAAAGCATCTTCTTCTCCAGTTTGTTGAGCAAAAAGATCTTCATCTTTCCGACAATCTTCCCACGCAAAAAAACCACAAACGAGTCCCACAATTTTTGAACAACCACTTGAACCACACCTATCAGATTTTCCTCCATTCTCCAATCCGGCTTTGCTAGGTTCTTCACGAGAAGATGCAATTCCTAAGCACACACCAAAAAGCTCTTCAATGACAATCATAAAAACAAAGTCCTGATGCATCAAAACGTCATCTTACACTGCCCTTTTCCCCAACAAAGGGAAAATTGCTGATTGGTGGATTTATCAATAGGAACTTGCAGAGAGGAAAAGAAATCCATTGTAATCATAACTACCCATTTATAATCAATTTTTCAGGACAATCAGCTCAATANAAAAAATCCATTGTAATCATAACTACCCATTTATAATCAATTTTCAGGACAATCAGCTCAATATTTGAGGTAAAAAATCTATATGGAACATTCATTGGTGTTACCAATCAAATCACATTGATAACTGGTTGAATCTCCACTGAACTTATTCAGTTGGTGGATTCAATCAGTAGGATTATATTTTCTCTAACTAAACCATGACAATGCTGCTAACTTACTAACCACGCAAATCTGTGTCATTTTGCAATCCATAAGCTGGTGTTTCGGCAGCTTCAGTCAAAATTCCAGGATCAGCGGGATCAATAGCTCTGCATCTAACATAAAGCACAAATACACTGAGTGCCTGAAGTAAACACAGAAAATAAAAAATAAATAAGGTGAGCAAAAGATGGTGGTGCGATCTCCATACAAGGATTACTATAAAAGACTTCTATTATGCTTACCAAGAAGGAATAAACACCAACGGCCACGTATTCATACACGTTCTTCCCAAGAAACGGAGCAAAAAATGCATAAAAGGCAACAGAGAGCTAGAAAAATAATTGTTATTGCGACAACCTATGCATCATCACAAACATCAAGACGATTGTACTACAAGTTAGAGCAAAATGTATGGATGATGATGCAACAATATCTAAAAGATTGTAGGCAGGAATGTACCATTAAAGATTTTCTTTCCACGTATATCTCATCTCCTGCACATTACCAGAAAATCAATATTAATTGCTATATTGATGTGCACATAACACTCGTGATAAATAACTATAATAACTGACAGACAGGGAAAATCAATTGAACAACTACAACAAACATTGTGTGCCAATCACCTAGACTTTAAAAAAAATGTGAGAAACACAAGTAAGATGCTGAGTACTTTGAGGACGTCAGATTAAGATATCAACCAACAACCATTGCTAAACCCTCCCAAAGATACAGAGTTTTCAACCAGATTGTAAAACGAGAAAGCAGAGTAGCAATTATTGTAATGACAAAAACAGATCCTTGGCCATAAAGTTCCAAAGGGTAATTGATCATAAAAGAGGTCCATGATCACACCTTACTTATACTTCACAACTTCCAAACTAGGACAGGGTTTGATATGAGCCCCTAAATTAAACTTCTACTAAAAATCTCAACAATGGAGGGTTGATCATTCAGATCAAGTGACAAACATAAGAAGTAGTAGAAATAGTCAAGTTTAAAACACATTTTACATGTAAAATAAAATCAATCAAATTTGCACAAGTAGATATACTTATCTTTTCACTCATAAACTCCATTTTCAAGTTTATCTCGTCCATTCCACTAACAACTGAAATCAAAGCACACATTATATTAGTTACGCACATAAAAAGAAAAATTCAAAAGATAACAAACAACAATAAAAGAAAAAAAATAGAATAAGAATGATGAGAAGGCGGAGCAAAAGAACAAAAAGAACAATAAACCCAAATCCCTAACCCTTAACCCCTAATCCATTATCCTAATTCGTACTCCCAAAGCCCTAATCCCTATTCCCTACTCCCTAAGCCCTAATCCTTAATCCCTAATACCTAATCCCTACACCTTAAGCCCCAATCCCTACTCCCTAAGACCTAATCTCTAACCCCTAACCCCAAATTATAAACCCAAAACCCAAAGGCCCGTAATCCCAAAGCCTCCAAAGCATAGTTTTAAAACCCGGCCCGGACACCAACCCGGAGAAGGGACCGGGTCAATGGATTTCTAGTTCAACCACTGGGTCACTGGTCGAACCGGTGATATAATAAAAAAATAAAAAATAATTATTAATGATGATAAATAGACTAAAAAATTAAAATAGTTATAAAAATAACATGTTTAATATATATTAAATCAAACAAAGTTATCAAACCTAAATCACTTAATTGCATTCAATTAACAAACCAATGCATTCAATTAACAGCCCAGCCTCCACCCTCAAACTTGAATCACTTAATTGCATTCATTTAAATTTTGAGTTAACAAACACTGAACGAATGATTTAAGATTTAGGGCAAAACAGAAGGTGAAAAGAGAAAGACACAAAAATATAAAAAAAAAATATATTTATACTAAAGGAACAAAACCGCCCTGTTTTGTAAATCCGGTCCGGTTTTCACGGGTTACCGATTTTTTGACCGATTCACCGGTTTTATTCCGGGTTCTTTACTCAAACGGTCCAATTACAAAACCGGCCCGGTTAGGGGACCGGGTCAACGGGCCGGGCCGGGTTTTAAAACACTGCTCCAAAGCCTTAAGCCCTAAACCCTATTTGAATTCTATATTCTATTAGTATCTCTAACATGCTACAAACTCCAAATTTTTCACCATGATTAAACGATTTGCTCCCTCTCCAACTAATTAAATTTTGTTTTCGACAATTAACAATTTCAATAAAGAGATAATAAAAATAAAATAAAACAATTAATCTAATAAAAAAGCAAGAAAAACACATATAATCAAAGAAATGATATGCAATTATAGGTTCTGTAAAACACGAAAACAACAACGAAAAATGAAAAAAAAACAGTGGGATAATGGGAGTGTTGGGGATTGAAAATAGTAGAAACAATGATCATAACTAGTAAGAAATANCTGTACATAGGGCCTGTAATAAGCACATACCAAAGTTGATTTTCTAGGGGAAAAACACAGTAGTACCAAATGCAACCAAAATAAATTCGATCATTCTATGGAATAGAGTCATTAAAAGACCAAAAAAATGGAATTGCAAGACTTTTACCAAGCCAAAACATAACAAAAATAACANACCTTTTCGATCCTAAACTCCGCTTTCAAGCTTATCTCGTCCATTCCACTAACAACTGAAATCAAAGCACACATTAGATTAGTTACGCACATAAAAATGAAAATCCAAAACATAACAAACAACAATAAAGGAAAAAAATAGGACAAGAATGATGAGGAGGTGGAGCAGAAGAACAATGAACTCAAATCCCTAACCCCTAACCCCTAATCCGTTATCCGTAATCCATAATCCCTACTCCCAAAGCCCTAATCTTTAATCCCAAATCCGTACTCCCTAAGCCCTAAGCCATAATCTCTAACCTCTAACTATAAATCGAAAACCCAAAAAAAAAAAATAAAACATAAATAATCTAATAAAAAAACAAGCAAAACACATATAAGCAAAGAAATGCTATGCAATTATAGGTTGTGAAAAACATGAAAACAACAACGAAAAATGAAAAGGAAACAGTGGAATAATGAGATTGTTTGGGATTGAAAGCAATAGAAACAATGATCAAAACAAGTAAGAAACACAAAAAGAAGTACAAATAGTCATGTGTAAAACACATTTTATATGTAAAAAAAAGTCAATCGAATTTGGATAAATAGATATACTTATCTTTTCACTCCTAAATTCTGTTTTGCAAGCTTATCTCGTCCATTCCACTGATAACAGAAATCAAAACACACACAAGATTAATTACACACATAAAAATGAAAATGCAAAAGATAACAAACAACAATAAAGGAAAAAAATAGGACAAGAATGATGAGGAGGTGGAGAAAAAAATAATAAACCCAAATCCCTAACCTCTAACTCCTAATCTCTACTCCCTACTCCCTACTCCCTACTCCCTACTCCCTACTCCCTAATTCCTAGTCCCTAATCCCCAATCCCTAATATCTACTCCCTATGCCCTAATCCCTAACCCCCAACTATTAACCCAAAGACCCCAAAGCCCAAAAGTCCGATAGCCCGTAAGCCCCAAGCCTCCAAAGCCCTAGTATCTCTAACATGCTACAAACTCCAAATTTTCCACCATGATTTAACAATTTCCTCCCTCTCCAAGTAATTAAATTTTGTTTCTGACATTTAACAATTTCAACAGAAAGATAATAAGAAAAAAAATAAAACATAATTAATCTAATAGAAAAGCAAATAAAGCATATATAATCAAAGAAATGCTATACAATTATAGGTTGTCTAAAACACGAAAACAATAACGAAAAATGAAAAGCAAACAATGGGATAGTGAGAGCTTTGGGATTAAAAATAATAGAAATAATGATCATAACAAGTAAGAAACACAAGAAGATGTAGAAATAGTCTTGTATAAAACACATTTTCCGTGTAAAAGAAAGTCAATCAAATTTGGACAAATTGATATACTTATATTTTCGTTCCTAAACTCTTCTTTCAAGCTTATCTTGTCCATTGCACTAACAATTGAAATCAAAGTACAGATTAGATTAGTTACGCATATAAAAATGAAAATCCAAAACATAACAAAAATAATAAAAGAAAAAAATAGGATAAGAATGATGAGGAGGTAGAGCAAAAGAAGCAAAAGAACAATAAACCCAAATCGCTAACCCCTTTTTTTTTTTGGAAGAATGCAGAAATATTATTGATAACCCCAAGATTACAAGAAGCAAAAGTATAGCTTGAACAAAAAGAGAAAGGCCAAAGTTGGCTTTAATCCTGCAAAATTAAAAAAGGATAACATTCTTCAAAGTGCAGAGACAGCCCAGATACCACCCAGCAAAATGGAACATCATGAGAACCAAGCAGCATCAGGACAAGCAAAGGCGCAAAGGCCATAAAAAGGATGAGAAACAGCTGAAATTCCAGCTGGAGAACCATTAAAACCAGCTGAAACCAGAAGAGACAATCCATAGAGCCCCAGCAGAGAGAAGGTGAGGAGACCAGCTGCAGCTGAACCAGCTTGGGCAAGCAGGCAGGCTCAATAAAGACCTAAATAGCTGCATAAGAGCCGCTGGAAATCCAGCTGAGAGTCCAGCTGAACACCATGAGCAACCGTATGAAAGCAGCCGAAGGAACCAAAACATAACTGCGTCAGCTGAAAACGAGGAGAGCAGCAGCTGAAAGAGATCCATAACCAGCTGACAGACGCAAATCCATGAGAAGCTGAAACCAGCTGGGAAGGCAGCATGATCACCGCAGAAAAACAGCTGTAGCAGGAGCCAGGCAGGTCACGTGAACAGTCGCGTGAACAGTCCCCAGCTACTGTGGCAGCCTGCAATGAAGGCCAGGCGGCAGACCAAGAACCAGCAGACACCATAAGAAAAGACAGCTGACGGAGACCAGCTGAAAAACCAGGTAAAAGGCCATCAAAACCCAGCTGAAGATAGAAGATAACCGAAGAGTGAGGGCCAGCAGCTGCATTAAACAAGCTGTGCACATGAACAGTGCACGTGAACAGCCCAAAACCAGCAGGGCGCAGGAGACCCCCAGCAACATGAACCAGCCCAAAGCAAAAGGACCCCAGAACCAGCCCAACCAACAGCTATTAACCATGATCATCATTTATCAGAGCACACCCAGTGCGCAGAACAGGCAACTGCTCCTGTCTCCCATTCAAGCGCACGTCAACAGTATCAAGCTGCCTGCAAGTGCTATCAACCAAGATCATTTTTCGTCTCAATGTAGACAAAGAAAGTTGATCGTGATGCAACCTCATCTTCCCAGCTATAGGCAGCGAATCAGTACCCAAAAATTCAAAACAGCAGGCTTCGTTGACAGCATAAGAAGCCAGAAAATCTGCAAGACCGTTAGCTTCCCTGAAAATGTGACTAACCTTGATATTAAATCTATGCAAAATTCCACAAATATCATCAATAAACTGTTTATATTTCCAAGGAACCTTGACCTTCCCCAATACCATTCCAACAAGCACCTGTGAATCCGATTCAATAAGAAGTTGATAATTCATTAAATCATGACGCAAAAACAACTTAATACCCTCCAAAAGTGCCTTACACTCGGCCAGCATATTCGAACCCCTGTCATAAAAGGAGGCAGCAGCGACAACAATCAGACCATTCGAATTCCTGACCACCATGCCTCCGCCTGACAAACCAGTTGGCCCCTTTGCTGCAAGCGTCAAGGTCCCATCTGGAGGGGGTTCCCACTTAATCCATAAAGCCTTTGTGATAACAACATGGGCAGCATTAATCTTCAAATCAGCAAGTAACACTTTACCATTACTATCATCACCCTTCTTAGGCTTAATAATAAAAGCCTGAAAACCCAAAGCACTCATAATTTGTAAAAACACAGCATAGGAATTTAATTCTCTTCCTCAAACCGTCTCCTGCGCCTTTCTTTCCAAAGAGCCCAGTATAAAAGAAGTGGAACTCCTCTAACTAGAGCGTGACTCAGCGAACAACATTTAAAAATTCTGCTAAGCCTCAAGAACCTAATAATAGAAGACTCCCCCTCAATCAAACCAAAACCCATCATACTTGCAAACCTTCTCCATATTGATTTTGCAAAACTGCACTCAATAAACAAATGAGAAACAGTTTCCTCTTCTTCGCCACAGAGACTGCACCTGCTTACCAAATCAATACCCAAGTCACGGATTCTTGAAGTAATGGATAAAGCACCCCTAAGGATTTTCCAAGAACATAGCTGTGCACTTGGAAAAATTCTGTGACTCCAGATACATTTAGCAGCCACATTCTGCTCACCCTGCTGCCTGACCTGCCACCATGCATCTTTAACAGAGAAAAGACCAGTACTGCTACTCCTCCAAACCCTTCTATCCCCTTGCTCACAGATCACCACTCCAGCTGATATAATCTCAGACTTCAATTGCTCCCCAAGGACAGAAATAACATCATCCAGCTGCCATTGGTTATTCCCCCACATATCAGCTACAGCAGGAAAATCAGTGGGAATCCCCACAGCACTTTGCAATAAGGGCCCAGACTCAAGCCATGCATCACACCAAAAATCAGTGTTTCTACCTTTCCCTATACTGACCCAGGAATTTTCAACCACAAAATTAAACCAAGGCTTCAAACTTTTAAAAGATTTTGCACCCCTCGATTCCCCACATCTTAACAAGTGCCTCCCCTTAAGAATGTAGATCTGAACATCTTCGCCCAAAGTCAATTACCATTTAGGATATTCCAGACCTGTTTAACTCTGAAAGCTGCTTGAATCTCCTCAAAGCTTCGAATTCTCAACCCACCCTCCTCCTTTGGTTTGGACATCTTATCCAAAGAGACCCAATGTCTCCTTTTAGAGTCCAATTTACAGCACCATATGAACCCAGCGATTAATGAATTCAACTTCCTCATCACGCCTTTGGGTATATTCATACAAGTCAAAATATGAATGGGAATAGCATTCAACACAGACTGCACCATCACAAGTCTACCCATCCCAGATAGAAGTTTGGCATACCATCCTTCAATGATCCTTCTAAAACTGTTGATCACCTCCGCAAAGAAACAATTCCTAGATCTTCCCCTAATAATGGGGAAGCCAAGATAAGAAAAGGGGCAGGTCTTCAAAGGATTCCCACCAAATTGGACAGCACATTCCGTCTAACAATGGGGATTTTTGCTGAACAATACAAAGCACTTTTTGATTTATTTACTTTCTGTCCAGAACAAGATTCATACAAACTTATAAACTTCATCAAGTTTATCATAGATTTCTTCTTACCTCTCAAGAATATTAAGGTATCATCAGCAAAAAGGTGATTCACCAAAAGAGAACCTCTGCCTGTGTGAAAATGGGTGACCAAATTCATCTGATAAAGTCTTCTCAACCCTCTACTCAAAGCCTCTTCAGCAAGAATAAATAAGGAAGTGGATAAAGGATCTCATTGTCTGAGCCCCCTTGAATTAGCAAAATAACCATGCCTTTTTCCATTTAAACACAATGTAAAAAATTGGGTTTTCAGACAGTTAGAGATAATTCTAACTAACATTCCTGAAAAACCAAACTTTTCCAACACCCTCAACAAAAAGTCTCATTCGATCCGGTCATACGCCTTCATCATATCTAATTTAACTACCATATTGCCTCCCACCACCTTTCTATCCAACTCCTCTGCCATTAGCTACCCCAATGACACACAATTCCCAATGCACCTTCCTTTTACAAAACCATGTTGCTCTTCAGACACCAACACAGGAAGTAAAGAAGAAAGTCTCGTAGTGAGGAGCTTTGTAAAAATTTTATAAACAAAATTGCAGAGGCTAATGGGCCGAAAATCCCCAAAGTTAACAGGGCTGTCCTTCTTTAGAATTAGAACAAGAAAAGTAGAGTTAACAGATTTTGGAATTACACCACCTCCCAAAACAAAAATCACAGCAAGCAGTACATCATCTTTGATAATCTCTCAGGATGATTGAAAAAACTTACCCGAAAGCCCATCAGGTCCTGGAGCACTTTCCACAGCCATGGAGATAACAGCCTCTCTGACTCCCTCCATAGAAGCAGCTTCCACCAACCTCTCATTCTTTTGATCACCAACCAGTGAAGGGATTTCAGAAAATATCTCTTCCTGAATAGAATGATTCTCTGACATATACAACTTAGAATAGAATTTTATAGCAACGTCAGCAATCTCATCTTCCCCATGAACCCAAACACTTTCATCATTCTGAATTCTTTTAACTTTATTTCTTACAACTTTACTCTTTGCCATAGCATGATAAAAAACTGTATTTCTTTCCCCTTCAACGGCCCATCTAATATTCGCTTTTTGTTTCCAGAATATCTCCTCCATTCTAAGCAAATTATCCAATCCTTCCTTCCACCTCTCTAATACTAATGCACCCTCCGAACAATAATTCTGATCCAATTTAGACTCCTCCTCCTGAATCCTTCTTTCATGAACTTTTATATTATTAAATACATTCCCAAAGACTTCTTTGTTCCACAATTTGAGATGGGCTTTTACGTACTTGAGCTTAATGAACAAGTTAGCGACAGGATTCTCAAAAAAATGCCCCCTCCAATTTGTAGCAACCAAATTTAGGCATCCTGAAAACGAAAATAAGATATACTTCTCTGAATAGGTTCATCCAAAATCTTAACAAGCAAGGGGCAATGATCTGAATTACCCCTAGCAAGATGGACAACCTCAGTATTCTCAAATCTCAGAGGCCAAGCAGCATTCACCAAAACCCTATCCTACCTCTTTAGCATCCTGACTTGCTCCTGGCGATTATCACACCATGTGAACCTACTACCAGAAAAACCACAATCCAACTACCCTCCTTGATCAAGAAATTGGTCAAACTCCTCCACAGCTGTAATAGAAGGAAAGGCCCCTCCTCTTCTTTCTTCCGAAGTCAAAATGGAATTGAAATCACCTGCAATGATCCAAGGATCACTTGCTGGTATCTCATTACCCAACAAATGCTGCCATAATAACCTTCTCCTAACACGGTCACAACTTGCATATACTACAGACATCCAAAATTTTTCATTCCAAAAACATAAATTCCACAGTCAGCACCACAGCTGATGAGAGTACAACTCCTTGATTTTAACTCTACCATCCCAGAGCAACCAAATATTCCTTTCTGCACATTTGTTAAACCAGAAATGATTCAACCCTATTTTACCAGCAAAATTTTGCAGCTTTGACACTGATATTTTTGGTTCCTGAACTGCCACACAACATTCATCATTCATCTTGATAATTTTCTTTAATCTCCTACTTTTGCATCCTTTCCCTGCTCCCCTCATGTTCCATGAAATCAGATTAATCATAAATGAACAGAAGCAAAATTCCCACTAGAATTACATCTAGAACCTTCCTCTGACACTCTGAATGACCTATCTGTGTCCACCGCATCACCTACTGGGCTTTGAGAGCTATCTTGATCAGATACATACCCCTTATCTGGGGGTATCTTCTTGCTTATAAGACCATATTGATCATCAACCGATCCAACATACCCCTCCCTATTCATAAAGTCACGGTCAACCAAAAAGGATGATCCCATTGAAGGAGCACAATAAAACCACACATTCTGGCAAATGGTCTTTAAAAACACCCCCATTTCCAGAACCAACGCTATTCTCGGCCTCTACATCAACATAATTATCATTCTTCTTTTCTCTATCAACTTCTAACTCATTCAGCAACATGTCCCCGCCAGAGGCATCCAGAACAGGAATAGAAGTAGAAGACAAAGCATCAACCCTCTGCACCTCATGATTCTGATTCCAATTCTCCATATCCTCAACAGGGATTTGAATGTTCGCAGAAGAGCCCACGGTCGAGGGAAGAGTTGATGGTGACGGGAGTTGAACAGTTGACTGGTTATGATGAAGATGAGGGTTAGGAAGCATAGGAATGATAGTATTACCACCTAAAGGATCCACAAAAGAAAGCGAATTTGACGCTGATGCAGATGGAAAATGTAGAGAAGTTTCCATGTTCGACGGTTTTTTCAATAAAGACGCGAAATTTCGGGTTATGTCTGGTGGTTTGGATGGGAAATTCAGCGAATTCTTTGGGGCTATGGTGGGAATCCGAGAAACATCAGGAGGCTTTGGTGGAATTTTGTTCAAACCCTAGGCCGAATCCATAATAAATGAACAGATCTACATGAAGTTAAAGCAAGAACTCAACAGGCAAAGAGTAAAGGGAGAGAGAAGTGAGAGTTTCTCTCATTAGAAACATTTCCTGCCCCCCTAAACCCTCCAAATCCCTAACCCCTAACCCCTAATCTGTTATCCGTAATCCCTAATCCCAAATCTCTACTCTCTAAGCCAATTCCCCAACCCCTACCTATAAACGGACAATCCAAAAAAAGAAAATAAAACATAATTACTCTAATAAAAAAACAAACAAAACACATATAATATAAGAAATACTATGCAATTATAGGTTGTGTAAAACACGAAAATAACAACGAAAAATAAAAAGGAAACAGTGGGATAATGAAAATGGTTGAGATTGAAAATAATAGAAATAATGATCATAACAAGTTAGAAACACAATAAGAAGTAGAAATAGTCATGGGTAAAACACATTTTACATGTAAAAGAAAATCAATATAATTTGGACAAATAGATATATTTATGTTCTCACAACTAAACTTTGTTTTGCAAGCTTATCTCGTCCATTCTACTAACAACTAAAATCAAAATACACATTACATTAGTTACGCACATAAAAAATGAAAATCCAAAAGATAACAAACAACAATAAAGGAAAAAAATTGGACAAGAATGATGAGAAGGTGGAGCAAAAGAACAATAAACCCAAATTCCTAACCCTTAATCTCAAATCCTTAATTCCTAATCCCTACTCCCTACTCCCTAATTCTTAATTCCTAATTCCTACTCCATAAGCCCTAATCCCCAATCCCTAATACCAACTCCGTATGCCCTAATCCCAAACCCCCAACTATTAACCCAAAACCCCCAAAACCCACAAGTCCGATAGCCCGTAAGCCCCAAGCATCCAAAGCCATAAGCCCTAAACCCTATTTGAATTCTATATTTTATTAATATCTCTAACATGCTATAAACTCCTAATTTTTCACCATTGTTTAACGATTTGCTCCCTCTCCAAGTAATTAAATTTTTTTTTTGACATTTAACAATTTCAATAGAAAAATAATAATAAAAAACATAAAATATAATTAATCTAATAGAAAAGCAAACAAAGCACATATAATCAAAAAAAATGATATACAATTATAGGTTGTGTAAAACACGAAAACAATAACGAAAAATACAAAACAAACAGTGGGATAATGAGAGTGTTGGAGATTAAAAATACTAAAAACAATAATCATAACAAGTAAGAAACACAAAAAGAAGTAGAAATAATCATGTGTAAAACATATTTCACATGTAAAAGAAAGTCAATCGAATTTCGACAAATAGATATACTTATCTTTTCACTCCTAAACTCCGCTTTCAAATTTTTCTCGTCCATTCCACTAACAACTGAAATCAAAGCACACATTAGATTAGTTACGCACATAAAANAAAACAATAATGAAAAACAAAAAGCAAACAGTGTAATAATGAGAGTTGCGAATTGAAAATAATAGAAACAATGATCATAACAAGTAAAAAACACAAGAAGCCGTAGACATAGTTGTGTGTAAAACACATTTCAAATGTAAAAGAAAGTCAATCAAATTTGCACAAATATATATACTTATCTTTTCGCTCCTAAACTCCGCTTTCAAGCTTATCTCGTCCATTCCACTAACAACTGAAATCAAAGCACACATTAGATTAGTTACGCACATAAAAATAAAAATTCAAAACCTAACAAACAACAATAAAAGAAGAAAATAGGATAAGAATGATGAGGAGGTGGAGCAAAAGAAACAAAAGAACAACAAACCCAAATCCCTAACCCCTAACCCCTAACCCCTAATCCCTAATCCCAAAGCCCTAATCCCTCATCTCTAAAGCCCTAATCCCTAATCCCTCCTACCTAAGCCCTAATCCCTAACTATAAACTGAAAACCCAAAAAAAGAAAACAAAACATAATTAAACTAACAGAAAAACAAAAAAACACATATAATTAAAGAAATGCTATGCAACTATAGGTTGTGTACAACACGAAAACATCGAAAAATGAAAAAGAAACAGTGGGATAAGGAGAGTGTTTGGGATTGAAAATAATAAAAAGAATGATCATGACAAGTAAGAAACACAAAAATAAGTAGAAATAGTCATGTGTAAAACACATTTCACATGTAAAAGATACTCAATCGAATTTGGACAAATAGATATGCTTATCTTTTCACTCCTAAACTCCCCGTTGCAAGCTTATCTTGTCCATTCAACTAACAATTGAAATCAAAACACAAATTAGATTAGTTGCGCACATAAAAATGAAAATCTAAAAGATAAAAAATCACAATGAAGGAAAAAAAAAGGACAAGAATGGCGAGGAGGTGGAGCAAAAGAACAATAAACCCAAATCCCTAACCCCAAATCCGTTATCCCTAATCCCTACTCTCTACTCCCTAATTTCTAATTCCTACTCCCTACTCCATAGGCCCTAATCCCCAATCCCTAATCCCTAATCCCTAATACCTAATCCCCAATTAACAACTGAAATCAAAGTACACATTACATTAGTTACGCACATAAAAATGAAAATCCAAAACGTAANTAACTATAAACCGACAACCCAAAAAAAGACATAAAACATAATTAATCAAATAGAAAAGAAAACAAAGCACATATAACCAAAGAAATGCTATATGCAATTATAGGTGGTGTGAAACATGAAAACAATAATGAAAAACAAAAAGCAAACAGTGTAATAATGAGAGTTGCGAATTGAAAATAATAGAAACAATGATCATAACAAGTAAAAAACACAAGAAGCCGTAGACATAGTTGTGTGTAAAACACATTTCAAATGTAAAAGAAAGTCAATCAAATTTGCACAAATATATATACTTATCTTTTCGCTCCTAAACTCCGCTTTCAAGCTTATCTCGTCCATTCCACTAACAACTGAAATCAAAGTACGCATTAGATTAGTTACGCACATAAAAATGAAAATCCAAAACATTAAGAAAATAATAAAAGAAAAAAATAGGATAAGAATGATAAGGAGATGGAGCAAAAGAAGCAAAAGACCAATAAACCCAAATCCCTAATCCCAAAACTCTAATCTCCCAAACCCAAATCCCTAATCCCTAATTCCTAATTCTAAATTCCAACTCCTTAAGCCCTAATCCCTAATCTCAAATCCCTACCCCCTAAGTCCTAATCCCCAACCCCTAACTGTAAACCGACAACCCAAAAAAAAGAAATAAAACATAATTAATCTAATAGAAAAGCAAACAAAGCGCATATAACCAAGATAAGCTATGCAATTGTAGGTTATGTAAAACATGGAAATAATAACAAAAAATGAAAAGCAAACAGTGGGATAATGAGAGTGTTGAGAATAGAAAATAAAAGAACACTGATCAAAACAAGAAAGAAACACAAGAAATTATAGAAATAGTCATGTGTAAAACACATTTCCCAGGTGAAAGAAAGTCATTCAAATTTGCACAAAAAGATATACTTATCTTTTCGCTCCTAAACTCGACTTTCAAGCTTATCTCGTCCATTCCACTAACAACTGAAATCAAAGTACATATTAGATTAGTTACCCACATAAAAACGAAAATCCAAAACGTAACAAAAACAATAAAAGAAAAAAATTGGAAAAAAAAGATGAGGAGGTGGAGCATAAGAAGCAAAAAGAACAATAAACCAAAATCCCTAACCCTTAATCCCAAATCCCAAATCTCTAAAGCCCTAATCCCCAATCCCTAATCCCTAATCCCTAATCCCTAGTTCCTAATCCCTACTCCCTAATCCCTAATCCCAAATCCCTACTCCCTAAGTCATAATCCTCAACCCCAAACTATAAACCGACAACCCAAAAAAAGGAAATAAAACAAAATTAATATAATAGAAAAAACAAACAAAACACAGATAACTAAAGAAATGCTATGCAATTATAGGTTGTGTAAAACATGAAAACAGTAACGAAAAATAAACAGTAAACAGTGAAAAAATGAGAGTGTTGGGTATTGAAAAAAATAAAAACAATGATCATAACAAGTAAGAAACACAAGAAGATGTAGAAATAGTCATGTGCAAAACACATTTAACATGTAAAAGAAAGTTAATCAAATTTGCACAAATAGATATACTTATCTTTTCGCTCCTGAACTCCTCTTTGAAGCTTATCTCTTCCATTCCACTAACAACTGAAATCAAAGTACACATTAGATTAGTTACGCACATAAAAATGAAAATCCAAAACATAACAAAAATAATAAAAGAAAAAAAATAGGATAAGAATGATGAGGAGGTAGAACAAAAAAACAATAAATCCAAATACCAAACCCCTAATCCCTAATCCCTAATCCCTAATCCCTAATCCCTAATCTCTAATCTCTAATCTCAAAAGCCTTAATCCCTAATCCCAAATTCCTATTCCCTAAGTCCTAATCCCCAACGCCTAACTATAAACCGACAACCCAAAAAAAAGAAATAAAACATAATTAATTTAATAGAAAAGCAAACAAATCGCATATAACCAAAGAAATGCTACGCAATTACAGGTTGTGTAAAACATGAAAACAATAACGAAAAATAAAAAACAAATAGCGGAATAATGAGAGTGTTGCGAAATGAAAATAATAGAAACAATGATCATAACAAGTAAGAAACACAAAAAGATTTAAAAATAGTCAAGTGTAAAACACATTTCACATGTAAAAGAATGTTAATCAAATTTGCACAAATATATATACTTATCTTTTCGCTCCTAAACTCCGCTTTCAAGCTTATCTCGTCCATTCCACTAACAACTGAAATCAAAGTACGCATTAGATTAGTTACGCACATAAAAATGAAAATCCAAAACGTAACAAAAACAATAAAA